TGAGGGAGAGAAATATCTCGTTTTTGAATTATAACCGGTCGCCGACATAAAAAGTCCCGGGAAAGGTAGATCAGACCGACCGCGCGCGGTCCCACTGTAAAACAGAGATAATTCACCTCCTAGGCAGCACGGGATGCAATCTGCCAGATTGTCGGGCGCACCGAAATTGCCGGGTTGCGGGGAGACGTCTTCTTAGAGTGGACTGGAGGAGTCGCCGGCTTTCAGAAAACCAACGTGCCATTAGCAGCCGGCGCCCCCCTCGCCCGCTCGTCGATATCCCGGCATGCACGGGCGGGCCCGTATCGCCGGGTAAATAATGCGCCGCGAGAGGGTGTGCCCCAGTGAGACAAAGGGAAGAATCCGGCCCCCTCTTTTGTTTTCTCGCTCCGAGGTCGTCCGACTTCCTACATCGTGATCGCGTCGCCTGTTTCCTGTATCTTTTTAGCTTCTTCGTGGTTTCGTCGCTGAAGTGGCTCCGTCATCCTTTTCATCGCCAGCAAACAATTATTCTGCGTCGAGGAGAGCTTCGGGGCCGGATTAAAACCGGGAGGGAAGGCGGGATAATGTAGAGCGCGATATACGACGCGCTTCAATAGCTTCGGCATCTCCTTCGGGAAATCTCGCGATAACGAGTTAGCGATATTAATACAGACAAGCGAAATTCGAGCTCTCGAAAGTGGTTTCCCGCTAGCCGCCAATTTCGAACGTCTCGAAATCGGAAAAGAGATTTCCGTGAGTAGACAAAGAAGGACGCGTCGGCGTCGGCGGAACGACCGAGTGAAAATAATAATATTACTCATAAGCTGTAGGTCGAACGATCGTAAAAGGTCACGGTAGCTATAAAAACGGCAATCTAACCTGTTTCAACTATCTTCCCGGTCTATGAATTGCCATATAATAAAGGAATGCCGTTCGAGAGAGAGAGAGAGAGAGAGAGAGAGAGAGAGAGAGAGAGAGAGAGAGAGAGAGACCGACCCCGCGCCGTTCAAGCTGAGAGCAGATCGAATTTATGACCGGCACGAGTTTTATACGTAGGATCCCAGAGATTTGTCGTACAACTTATCGATTCCATTAACTACTATTAGTAAGGTGGGCTGCGGGAGACGTATAGCTCGGAAACTGGAGGAACTGGAACCGTGGCATGCTTACCTGGCCGAGCACGTCTCTCTCGACCAGAATGGATATATTTGTTTTAGGAGGGCTCGGAGGGACGGCGAGATCCCGCGTCTCAGATAGAGAATTCAATCTTCGAAGCCTCTCTTCCTCCTCGCGCACGGCCATCCTCGAATATTTCGAATGCATCGACTGGACGTGGCGTATCCGTCTTCTGTCTTTGGTCCCTTCGGTATCTTCGTGAAACCCTCGAGACACCTCATAGGGTACGTCGGACAAATGTTTTCATCCTACTCTATCTCTCGCTTTCCCGCTTTTACCTTCGTCCCTTTTTTTACGAGAAAGCTCGAATTTCACTCGTGGGGTCTTCGAAGAGACGTCGGTCTCGTAATTCTAGATGGTCGACATCAATTTTTCTCTTGAAAATTAATGGACACGCTGACACACGCAAAAAAAACTGTACTTCACTCTATTGAGTTTTCTGCGATCTTATAGCACGTCAGTTTCATGCGATCATAAGGCATCATCGGTGAGTCGTATTTCTGTCATTTTTCCTTTCTTTTCTCTTATTTCGATTCTATTGCGATTTTAGTTGTACATAGAAGAATACTAAATTTTATATATCAAAAATATAACGAGAAATAAAATTCACAATACGTAAAAGACACTTGTAAATATATTTTGTCAAATTTATGCAGTCTGCGAGCTACTTTTATATTTCAACCTGTTATATCATAAAAAAGGAATTTCGAATGGGTCGCATTCAAAGCGTTCTTTATATCCTAATCATCTGCCGCGGATCCTCGTATCATAATATTTCATATATATTTATATACGAAATACGAGTTTTTCTGTTTATGTGAACCGAATCGCCTCCTTCGCCCCCGACGCGATTCAGCCATAGAATTTCGGTCTGATCTCTCGAAGGGGAGAACGATACCGAGAGGCGGTGAGGGGCGTCTTCGAGCTCGGTTGACCTCCTGACGAAACGAAACGACCTTACAAGAATTTCCTTTTAAGAAAAGCAACCCACGAGAGCGAATGCGAGGGGTCTGAGAAAAAAATATTCTACGACTTGTCGGGCAAACCTTCGACGAGGTGCGTCTGGTGAATTCCGCAAAGAAAAGAAATTCCTCATATATTTCAGCCTCTCGAAATGTACGTTAAGAACTTTCAAGTTTCCGACTGATAAGAACCGATTTCCGGTGCGTTTTTAGAAAACACGATCGTTTTGGCGGTATTACGTAGTGCCGCGTGTCATTAACGGGACAGAAAGAAGCTCCAGAATGAGAAACTAGATTTGTGGGCGTCACACGCAACCGAGACTTTCAAGAACGAGTGTGTGACACGTGTTACCGCCATTGGCCAGCCCACATTTTAGCCAGAGTCATTACGAGAGGACCGTGGGGCTTTGAACGACGTCTCTTTGCCAGAAGTATTGCGCAAGAGAAAGTAATTACACAGTAAAACAGCAAAATATCTCGGTACAAATAAAATAAACATATCAAATTAGAACGTGCGATAATATATATTTTTAGCAAAGACTTGGTATTATTATTATTATGAATTTATATAGCGGATAGTTTTCGACTGCTTATAATTATAACGTATAACCGTCAGGCATTAGCTGCGCACTAAACACTTTGTAATAAATCATCATTCATTATCGCTACCATGTTTCTTTCGAGGGACGATGCATTTCTCAGATTAAGGCGCAAGATTCTACGAAATGGTACGCATAAGAACCTCAAAGGACCCGGGAACTATTTGGAAGGACTGTATCATGAACCAGACACATTTGCCCCCCGCTGTTAAGCTGCTTCGCGGCAGCAGACGAGGGTAAGGGGGTGTGGCACACGGAGCACCCCTCAGGATTCTGCGGTCATCCCCGGTCGTCGGCGGCCTTTAAAGCTTCGTGCACAACGAACGTGGCATTATGCAGACTCGAGACTGCACGGAACCGCCCCGTAATAGGATAAAAATAACCGTGTTTATATAGGATTACGAAGCGATCATCTTCTCAATTCTACCTCGGACTCCGTATAAAGCTAGAAAGAGGGGGTTTGCCAGAAGGGGACAATTCCTCGTCTCTCTTGCGCGCTTGCTATATGATTGTCAGCCTAAAAAAAAACTTTCATTTATCGATCAGGTGTCGTATAACAGAGGGATGTGAGCGGCACAACACGCGCCACATCGTGTTACGATGTTGTCGGGATCAGATACGAGATTCTTGGTAATTATGAATAACGAATGCATGAGGCGCACAAATAGACGACGATATTTCAGCGACTGGCGCAAATGAAACCATGTAAACGACGAGTTTTACCACTCGCTCGCGTTTAAATCCGCTTAATTAATATTTTTTACCGTGAATTCCTATGAGAGCTATGACAAGTTAATGGGGACGACAAATAAATTTCTCATAACGATATATCGCGCGGAGTATTCACCTCGCTATAGCCGGAACAAGCGCTCGGCACACGCGCGCTCGTATTATCATGATCTATTTATTTTTAATATTCAATTCTTCCATCTCCGACTTGAAATACTCGGTAATCTTTCTTATGTCTGGCCGAAGTAAAAGAAAAATTTGCAATTTTCTGTCTGCATACGTCCGACTACCATCCGATCGATAGATCGCATGAAAGAGTAATGCGTCCACGAAAAGAAAGAGTGAAATAAAAGAAGCTTGAGATCCGATAAAATACATTGAAACATCGATCGATCAATTAAACGAGAGTAAGAAGAGTAAAAATGTTCTCAGTATACCGTTGCGATAATAGAGATATTTAAAATTAAAGAGGAAATTGCACTTCGTGGAAATCAATTTTCGGAGAATCTACCCCTCCGGAACCCGTCAATCCCCTTACATGCATTTTGAAAAGAACGGATACCGGGAGACTATCAATGAAACTTGTATGTTTGCCTTTGTAACGCGCGCGTTAGCGAGACACACCGCGAAGTTGGATATTAAACATCGAGGATTATTTGATTACAGCCTCGCGAATTTGTACGAATCCGCTTGCCACGACTCTCCCGCCGGTTAAACGCCACACTTTCTCTGTCTCTCTTCGTCCCGCTATACCGTTTCTCGTGGCCATGATGCTGCTTCTCTTTCTTTTCGGTGAACCGTACAATCACTGGTTCGGAAGAGAGAGAGAGAGAGAGAGAGAGAGAGAGAGAAATGAAGCCGAAGCGGGAAACGCGCATGGAAATGAACGTTATTAAATTGTTCTACCGTAACGCCGAATCCACCCGCAGACATAAATTGACACCGACAACGTCGAGTTAGGCGCGGCGGGTTGGGGCCGTCAGATTGGTCCAGATGAAACTAAACGCGCGTGGTACTCGCACACCGGATTTCACCGAATACGCGCATACACCTCCGCGACGGGGGGGTTAAATTTGTGTTATTAATGGATTTGTTTGCGGTGCCCGTCTCGACGGTCAATATTTATTTATCGAACGTTGCGACAAGTACGAGCGCGCCGCGCCGACGAACAAGGAAAGAACGATCACGGAGAACAGGAAGAAGAGCAGAGGTGGGCGAAAGGCACCGTAAATAAATGGCCAGCGTATTTATTCGGTGAAAAAACAAATTTATGCACCGGTCGAAACGCGGATTCTATGCTCAACCTGAGCCCCGCTGTCAAAGGGAGAAGGATAGCTAGCTCTCCGGTTTCCCGAATTTTGCCCTCTCCTCGGACCTTTCTTTGCTCCGGTAAAGAGCAGCGAACAAACGAGAGATCGTTTTTCCTCGTTTGATATACGACTTTGAATCTTGATCGATAGTTTTATTCGTCGGCAAAATATCATTCAACGGGTTTTCCAGCGCAAAACATATTCCCTATCAATATTAATTATTTTAAGGGCCTTGCGCATCTCTGATGGACATACGCGTGGCCATCGAATGCTTCGAAATACGCCGGCGGGATCCCTCGAGTAATCGGGAAACAAGCAGCTTGGACAAACATTCTACCGGACAAAGCATGCGATGTACCACGACAAGCGGACGGGATGAATATTTAACAAAGTCTGCGGTCATCTCTCTGTACACGCGGACGGTGTACACTCCGTCTCGTGCAGCAATCCAGACAACACTCCGCAGCATCCGCGTGTGCAGCGACGACTGCAGAACAGCATCCACGCCGGTCCACGCTCCCACCAGCTCTCCTCTCCTCTTAGCTGCCCCTCCGCCACCGCTAAGCTTACACACCAACACGGCTTCACCTCCACCGCTACTACTACTGCCTCCACCGTCACCGTCGGCCACCACCACCACCGTCGTATCCCCGCGATGCCTCCACCACCATCAGCAACCTCCACCACCATCGCCACCACGTTCGCCCAGCATCGGCCAAGAGGCGAAGGGCCCCGAGGTTTCCACGCTACGAGTCAGTTGGCCGACATGAGCCGCGCGTGCTGGGGCTCTTGGTGTTTATCCGCTCTTAACGGCTAATCTCGAAACGCGCACCCTTCATATATCGGGACGTATACGCGTAGACACTGTTTGTGAAACGTACACGAGGGGTCGAAACGACGTTTTTCACAATTCATACCTGGGGTAGGGAAGGTCTTGACGTTCGAACGCCGGGATCGAGCTTCGATTTTTTCAATGGCGCGGATAGCCTCCCCATGACGAAAAGAATTTAGTGTTTCGCGTGTTGTCGAGGGATCGGTTACGAGATCGAAGGGTTCGTAAACGAGAGAGAGAGAGACCGATGTGAAATAGTTTCGCGGCAAATTGGCAATCGGATTTATATATATGTTTCAATCCGGGAGTGCAGAATTGACGTTACGATGCGCGGTGTAACGAACTTGCGACGATGATAACGCCAGTGTCAGTGCAGTGGGGTTAAAGTGCCAGCCGGTTTATGGATAACCACGCTTCGCTGATTGGGTGCACAAGTAAGTGATATCTGACGTACATTGCGTAACGCGTCGTGCAGCGGAATTTTTTTGTGCTGTGTCATTCCAGGAAATGCGTCCCGATAGCGAATACAAAATAGCGCATTTACCTAAAACGGAAATGCGATACGAATGGCTTTTGTAAAAATAGTATTGTCTCATGCGACTGATATTCCATGTGAATATCAAGAATAGCTTGACGAAACTGCAAAACGGAGCGACCAAATTGAAGCAATGCTAAGATCGTCGCAATTTCAACATGGATTCGACAGCGAAAAATTAATATAGCGCGTTTCTCAAAATTGTATGTATTATATTTTTAAAAATTTTATTTCTCCGACGATAAAGATGTTGAAGGTTACACATGACATCTCAAGCGGTTAATCGAGATAATTCATTTTAGTGATTCAAACGACTACGAATATTCCCGATTCATTCCAGTGACTGCACATTTTCAAAAGCCCGCTAGAGACCGTATCGGAAGATGAACGTTAACATTTAACCCCTGCACTCCCGCTGGGCCGCATCCATGCGGTCCAGAAGTCTCCGGGAACCTATTAAAAACTCGCGGTGCGTCGTAAACTGGCTCGCTCGGCGAACCGCGCCTTCTCTTTCCAAAATACCGGTTGTTACGGAGCGCGATTTCGGTGGTCGTTTTCCGATATCAACTACCGGATTTGCGCGCGGAACGGCTATAATCTTCGGCCGCGTGTAGCCGCGCCGTTGCTCCGACGGACTTAAGCACGCCGTATTACTGGTCTGTGCATTAAATGAAGTCGTTGGAAAAATTATACGGGCGGCATTAACTCGAGATATACGCTATTACTTGTTGCTTCATCGGAGCTATGTTTATATTCCCCCCTTTATGACTCCGGCGTGAAGCTATGCTAAAAAACGAAATGCGCGGATCACTTTGAGACGTTTATGGATTGTCTTAAATTCATTTTAGTCTGATCGGATAAAGTAATAATGCTCGAAATAAGCCGCACGAAAATAAAGTGCGGCCGAACGCGCCGGTAAACGACTGCCGGGCGCGATGGGCGAGCGAGAAGATCGCGCGCGGGCGCGCATAATCGTAAAACATCATTTCGTATGCACCATCGAATAAAGATTTACAAGTACTTGAGGGCACTTACTAGGATTACGTATACAGGAGCACGTTCTTCGGCACGACTTAACGGCAGCAGTAAGTTGCTGGCGATTTACGCAGGATATACAGACGCAGGATATACCAGACGTCTTTTACCCACGTTTCGAAATTGCATCCGCCGTTACCTACCCCATACTTATTCGTAAATACGCGAAAGATGCACACCGGGGGAAGTTCTCCGAAGATCTGAACGGCTTATCAGATATCCGTACATGCGCGTCGTCAATTCTCGATAAAACGTCGCCATTATGTCGCTGCATTGGTTAGATCGTTGACGGTGATTTGCAGAACGATCGATTCAATTACAATCTCTTTGACGTTGTCCCGACAGGACGATCGTATCAATAATACGTTTTCGCGCTTATAACGAAGAGAGCGAGAACGCGGAATTAATCCCGACGAATCGATTACATTGTGCTTCTATTTACATTGATTTCCTGCGAATCGTTAATCGTGACACTCGCGACCTCGTGATCGTCCGTAAAGATCGCGTCTTTATGAATAAATCTCGCTCGAAATAGAAAACATTCGATACGCGATAACGCACGCTCGTTCATTGCATATCGTTAATTAATAATATCGCTATCTTTTTAAACTGCAACGAGAGAATGTATTAATCAATAGCGTCATATCAATAATTATTGCTTTGTTCCATCTTGCGGATTATATCTATTGAAGTATTTTCACGTATCACTCGCAGTGGAGCATTAATTAATATTATAACATTATTCATAAATTCCGCGAAAAGATATAGAAATGTCTCGTCTTCTCTCCTGTTGGGAAAATGTGCATGCGACTAAGGCTAATCGGAGAATAAATAAATATGATCTGGAGCAATCCGACGACGTATGATTGCATCGTTATAAATAACTTCGGCGCGCGATACAAGAGATCGAGCAGTTTCAAAACGATTACGAAGAACAGATCCGCTGACTAAACATTTCGACCGACCGCGTCGGTGGTGCTTGACGATTGAAAAGAAGGCTCTCTTTAACTTTACCGGTGACGTTATTAACCAACTGGCGCTTACACAGTCGCATAATGATCACTACACGCCGCAGCCGTGTACTGTATAGAAAAGGACTCTCGAAAATAATGGAGCGGAGCGAGGCGCGTCATGCCAATGGATCCCTTTATTTCTGCTTTTACTTTTACGTTAGTCGTTTCTGTAAATATACCGAGCGTGACACGCGCGCGCTTCTTTGAATATTCCCGTCACCGACAGTTTGCGTCTCAAGCAACACCATCCCCTCTCGTCCGTGCCGGTTCCGTATCAGTACTCGCTGTGCTTTTAACTTCCGTTTTTCCCCGTGCAACAACGCGAAAATAATTGTACACTGAGATAGCGTGTTTCTTCCTGGATGCTCGAATTTTCCGTACAACAACTAAGAGCACTGAGTTTAAATTATTAAGGGGCTGTTGCGCGGAAGAAAAACTCAACAAATCTCGATGGTGAATAAATATTATATGGCGTGACTGCTCTGTGAAGAATATTAATAGGCACTCTATTTCATTCTATTCAGCTTTTCAGTTTTAACAGCTAATTTAACAGTAATTTCAGTCAAGAGTAAAGTTACGGTATTTTACATTTTTACGACGATTTAAAGTATCGCTCGATGTATTTTAGACGTCAATCCATACAAAAGCTTATATTGCTTTTCTTGCTTCCTCTGAGCGTGCAATTTCAGCTTCATTACCGTGCGTGCGCGCTTCGTAATGCGTTCGTTGAAATTCCTCCCCCACCCTATCATGAATAAAAATATCACGTCGGGATATTCTGGAGTAAAACTATTACGCGAAACCTACACTCGAATCTCCACGGGATCCGTGTAGAAGCCGCCGGCCGGGCCGATACTCCTGGCGAGTTAATACGCCATTCACACGCGATATTATTCGCGGAAGGGTACACATTCGTGCGCATTGGTCACGTTCGTGTTGGGGGAGGGGACTGACGATTTTATACCGACATCTATCATTTTATGTCGCAGCCGCCAGCGTCTTCGTCGAGAGAGCTTTCTGCACACGGCGCGTTTTCCGATTTCCGCTCCGGCCAGTAGTACAACTTTACGTCTTACGTGCCCGATCGAGAAGTTGCGCGGATACACTCTGGTAAGCAGGAAGCCTATATGTACGTGCTGCGAGTGCATGAGCCAACCGGCTGACGTATGCGTCTCATGGTACACCATGCTTCGGCCATTAAAAACTCGGTATGGTTTCGCCTTATCTCACCGTTCAAATCGACAAAACCCCAGGCCGCCACGCACAGCGCCATGTATCGCGGTTTCGATCGACTCGCAGGAAACACCATTGCCGCATCATAAGCCCGAGAGGACCTCGCGTCAACGAAAGAGGCCCACCTGGCACGCGCAGGGCCCCATCTGCGTCGATCACGACTCCATTCGGGGCCTCCGTGAGAACATAAAGTGCCTACCTGCTCCGAACGGCCACACAAAAGGGACTGTGAGAGAGCCCAGTGCCCGAAAAATATATTCACGCGTCGACGAATTTCTGCGGTGGCGAAACGGCCGTGTCTTCGGGCCGATCGCACCGGCCGATCGATCGTATCGATCTTTAAGGGCCGACTAATTCAGTTACGGCGTAATCTGGTCGGCGAACAAGACCGATACAAATCGAAACGCGGCGAAGTAAGATGCGAATTGAAATCGACGGACGGGCAGATGTTAAGCACTTTAAGATTCGTTGATTGATCGATAACGACGCCGAACGGTAATCTTGAAAAAAGTTAATGTACGAACGAGAGGTAAGATGAAGATAATAAAGAGACGCTCGTTTCGTTCAAGTGAATTTGCAATAGCGAGAAATGCTCTTGTTCCCCGAAATAATGGTGCGATAAAACCACGCGGAGAGATAAAATGCTGAAATAAAAATTCATTTTAACGACAGCGCTCCTGTGAAATTTCGATAGCTCGGAATCTTCAGCTGCGAAAGCATCGAGTTTCTACTTTGGTTACCTCGCGACAGAGGTTGCACGGGAGACGGTAGAAAAGTCACGCGCGCTGCGAAAAACCGCACGGAACATCCGTCGTAAACAACTTGGCGCCGTTTCGCGCCAACTTTTACTGCACGCGGGATTTCTTATCGACACGGGGATAAAATCGAGGAACTTTACAGGCCAGGGGAGGTCGCCTATCGTTCTTCGCACGTCGTACAATACCCGTATAGACACCGCGAGCGCCCAGAAAAATCTCGCACGCTCGCCACACGAGAGCTTCTCGTTTACGTCCGTCGATATATATGCGGTCGAGGGAGAGCGGCCCCGTTTTCTCGTATCTCCCGGGGCCTCGTCGTCGTGTGTACGGCTCCATCGCGGAGCCGGAGGAGATCCCGCTCAGGGCGGTCGTAGTCGCATTGTACTTTATATTCATGCAAAAACGTCAAATAACTTGCAGGCGCGACGCCGTTCGCCTCGCCGACCAAAAGCCAGCGTCAGGAAACGTTTGATCCTCTATACTGAAGTCCGGGGAAACTCGCGCCGTCGGTATCGGCAATGTGCAACATACGCGCGCACGATCATCTCTACGGTGTATTTTCAGCGTCCCTTCCTACCCTTCTTGGCGTTCCTGTTTGCGAAATGACTACGCGCAACAGAGCCGTACACAGTCGCGTTACACAGCCGCCGCTCTGTGCGCGGGCGATGAAACGATCAAAGAGCAAAGGGAAGGTGTATTTCGGTGTTTGGTCGAGCGAGTGGAAGCTGACGCGGCGCGGCGACGGATAGAGCCTCCCCGCCCGACTCCGTCTCGGAGTCGATGCCCGATTTTCGAAATGCCCTTGAAAGGAGCCGTGGACCACGGAGGATGGATCGGGGAAACTCTTTAGCCGCGGCCCCGGATCCCTTTGATCCGCCCCGGGGTGGAAGTTGTAAAGAACCTTTGTACCAGATGCTCGAAATTGTGACAACGTTGCTTCCAGCGGCCGACTCTCGCTTCTGCCTCGCGCGAGAAGTACTCTCGCGGAGTCCGCGGATACCGCAACGCTTGATTTTACGGGTTGCACTCTTTTAAACCCCTCTCGCGAGTCCCTTTGATCTCTCGAGTTATTACGCTTACTTTATGCTGGAAGCCGAAGCACGCGCCGCGCCGGAGTTTTGCTCCGGCGCGCGGGGCAAGCGAGGCGCGGCGTCGAGCGCGAGATAGTATCCTTGATACTCACGAACAGGTAATTTATGTTGTGTGTACCACGATCTCTTGAGTAAAAGGTCTCACCGTGCATTACGATTGAAATACCATGTACATAAGCGCGGTGAAATAGTTTTCTTACATGATCCGATGGCGTATCGCAAGCGCGAAGCGGTCAATAACTTGCTGGAATATTGATATCTCATTAAAGAAAAAAGCAACGAAAAAGCAAACAAAGTTCGCCCTAGACGTGGAAATCGCGGAAGTAGAATCCGTTACAGGCCATTAATAACCACTCGAAATCGATAACCACATCAGCACGTCTTCGAACACCTGCAGCATCTTCCCCAACAATACAAACCGCTTTTGAGACCGCTGAAACACGGCGCGCCTCAAAGAAGCGCATAAATCGAATCCCCTTGCCGCAGGTAGTCACGAATTTGTATACGTTCCACGAAGTCGCAGGTTTCCACTCCCGCGGAGTGAGTCAGATCTCGCTCTCGACATCGTTCTCTCCTTTTTTTTTTCTTCCTCAGACAGGAGCGATATGTATATCTACACGGAGACAGAAAAAAGAAAACGCACGGGGGTCGATACGATCGATCTGATGGAAATAAAAAACCACGATGACCTGTCTCTGAATTGAGGAGGATCCAGTGCGCGGATAGATGCGCGTGACCTATCGAGTTCGTGTGAACCGGGCTAGACGCATCTGCCCGTTGGCTAAATAACGGCCAACGAGAAAAGGAGGTCCGGTATCTGAAGAATCTACGTCGCGAACAAGCGAACGAGAGGGAGGACAACGTATGTAAGTACGAGAGGGACAAGAGCGGAGGAAAAGAAAGGCGATATCCTCTATGCACGGTCTATAAAGACGCTGCGCAAACCCACATCCCCGCGGCCGTTGCGCCGCGGGGGAGGTTGACATGTTTATTTCGCTCCGTAATCTTCTCGGATTACGTTACGGAGGAACGGGTGAGTGAGTGAGAGAGAGAGAGAGAGAGAGAGAGAGAGAGAGAAGCGAAAAATGGAGAGAAACGAACCAAAGAAGGAATACTCGGCCTTCGGGGCGGAGCTTGGGATACTACTTGCAACGCGGCGCGTATTCCAAGAGGATCCCTTGCGGTTTTCGGTACATCCTTGAGGAATGTTCGCGCGGTTTTCGCAGATTAGTTTCGCACACTCGTGAGGTGCGCGATGTTCTGCGGAAACTACGCGGAACTACTGAAGTACGACGTGTATCGATGCGCTGCACACTACGTGGAATGCTAGCCAGAATAAATAGTAGCGATAGAAGAGAACGACCATTTCTAGCACTGCACCTGCGCGCTATGAAAAATGCAGAAGATCTGAGTGAAACGTATTCCGATAGCCCAAATACGATTATAATTGAATAAGAAGCGGAGTTAATCGAGAATTAAGATGTTAGAATTTATGTCTGGACACGCGTAATACGGTGGGATTATCCTCGTTTATCGCCGGCGAATGCTCAACTACTGAGCGACTGAATTCCTTAACTAGAATTTACAACCGCATCTACCTATCCAACCCGAGTCTTTTTCCAGAACATAACGCCGCTCGCACACAGCGATCGAACAGAGTTTTGAAAGGTGTGACATTATATATTATATATATGTACGTACATATATTTATGTATATACATGCATGTACAATTCTTGGCCCCCTTGAATGGAGAAAGGCAGCCTCGTCAAGAACCGGTAGCTGAATCCTTTTGACTAGGGTCCAGCCTGGTAGTCGCTCTACCTGTTGTCATACGATACTCGAGACGCATCACGGAGGCTGTAAAACCGCTCTCGCGTCGTGCTCGCTTTCTGCGCACGGAAAAGAGTATCATCTTCGCCTGTTTCAGTCGCGAACGCCGCCGATGCACCCATAAGGGCGTCATAAGACGCGGTTTGCACGAATAAATTTAAAGAAAGGACGACAGTCGGCTTTTCTGGTCGGCTTTTCCGGCCAAATGGAGAGCAGAGCGAATGAATTCGTGCCAACTGCAGTGTAAAATGCCATGTGGCGTCGTCATGCACGGCGCAACAGCGCTGTTCACTGTCAAGTGTTTTAAACCTCTGAATGGATAATGCCGAGCGTGTTTATAAATTGAGTTCTCGTCCCGGAGGATTAGGACGCGCTCGAGATGGGAAATCTGTGTAGGGCCCCGCGATACGCGGCCCATAATGCGCACGTTGCACGGGTCTTGGTCGGATTATTCCGCGTCATGAATCTCCGAGAGCATTTTCGGCCTGCGTACTCGTGTACACGGTTCGCAGCGATGTTGTGCAGCGGTTTCATCGATTTTCCGAAGCTGCTGTTGATGGAGAACACGAAAAGCAACATTGAACAGTTCCAATCTCGAATAAAAAGATAAGCCATTTACTGACATAAAAAATTTGTTACTAAATTATACGTAATTTTATATTAAAAAGTTGCATTATTGAAACAAAATTATAAAATGTTGAAAAAATATTATAATCGAGAGAATTTAATTACTTCGCAAAAATATCGCTTTAAATGCCGATTCGAGTTATCGCGATTATTTCCGGAACAAAGTTCGTATCGTGAACACGAAACGTAAAGGCAACTCGCTATTATTATTTTTTTCCCCAGCATGCTAAATTTCACCATTCCACTGCGTTATTCCATTGCGTTTGCTCACGAGAAAGCTGCTGCACAACAGTACTTACAGATGTAATCGAACATCTAGCGAAAGACCTTGACGAACGACATTGATAAACGATCCCTTAGTCGCGTTTCAACTAACCGACTCGGCGGGATCGTGTAACAACTCGGTACTAACAAGCTTAGCATATACGCACGCATGCTATGTTCGCGAACATACGTTTCCGCGCGAATTTCGTTGCACGATATGCACACATCGCGTGAATTTTAAGCATCTCGCCGGGAGTTTAAAGTATCGATCGATAAGCGAGAATAACTCTCACGTAATACGCAGAGTGTAATGCCCCATGGACAGCAATGTTATTTAAGTTAAGCAGAGACGTAGATTATAATATACGATGAAATATGTTGCCGAAACTTTCCCGTGGCGCGGCGTGGGCGACGCGTTTAAACTCCGAGTCTCACTGCGTGAAATTGGCTCTCGGGTCTGGCTCGAAACGCCATCAAATTCTTCAAATTTTGAATCCAACGGCATGTACCGGTAATCCCGGGCACCATATTTTCAGTAGACGAATCGCGTTTAATAATTAATTCCGACGGCTATCGACCGGAATTCTCCCTCAGCGAAGAAACAGCAGTTTCGTGTTCGAGGGAGCTATCGAATCATGGGGGAAAATTACGCCCTCTCCCTTTGCCGCTTTGGCTTTCCTTATGTTCGTTCCTTTCACGGTAGCAGCGACTGGAAATGAAGGCGCCGCGAGGAAATTTCGCGTGCGGGAAAGTGTCTACCGCCGCTGGAATATTTAAATGGCAAGGGCTGCCAAGCCATGTTGTAAGTGGCACTCTCGACTTTCCTAACCGTCTTTTACGCTTTCCGGTAGAAACAACGCCGCGACGGCGAGCGACGCTAAACCCGTTTCACCTCGATACTTCTTTGCCCTGTCGCGTGCGACAGCCAATTTTCATTTTGTGTAAAAAGTAACCGTCCGTACATATATCACATAAGAAAAGTAGGCTGCTTTATTATGTTTCTCGAAATCGCTGAAAGCAGCATATATTTCATTCATGCTCTTTACACCAAGTGTCAAAGTTTCAGCGCGCACAATTGTCGCTTGCGTTCGCGGCAAATTATTTTCTCATATAACTAGAATAAAATGTTAAAATTGTTATATTAATGGAGCATTATTTTTCGTTTATGTTGCAGGTGTGGGCTCGTATCAAGCCGACGAGTGGTCAGTGTGGTGCTTCGATATTTAAGTGTCACTCTAACCGGGAAATGAACGAATGATCGGACGGCGGTGATCCGTGATACACGATGAGGCCGAAATCTTGCTCGCTATTCCTCTTGTTCTGCGTACTCCTGCCCGGAGTGGTTCGTCCCTTCGCATCCCGTGAAGGTAAGTAAAAAACTCCGAGCCAAGAGTAAAAAATTCTCCATCGTTCGTCGTAAAGCTTCGGGCGACTAGCTACGTCGAGGCGGTCGGGGAACACGAGATCTGGTGGAAGATCGTTAAGTTCGTCATTTAACTCGTGCCGAGCCTGTAATGACCTCTCAACGGCGCTCATTCCCAGGGATTCGAAGAGCCGCGCGACTCAAGTATCTTCCATCTGAGCGCGCCAAACGTCTGAGTGCCACTTTACGCGAGTTCTTTTGTTGCGCGCGAGGCATCCGTTCGAGAGAAATTGCTGTTAAGTTATAAATTACATCGTGTCGTTACGTTGTTGGGGGAACGATTACCGATCGCGTTAATTTGCCCAGAATCCTGATTCGCACTCTCAGACACACATCGCGGCATTTCACGCGTTTCATCCTCTTGTCTCGACAGCTACGCGAGGCGATAAACAATCGCGAGAACGCGGTCTTAATAAAATCCGCGGGAAAGACTCGCGAACGCGCCTCGGTAAATAGCGTACTCGCGATGAGATCGAGCGACAAGCCACTTGAAAATATCATCCGTCAACGGAACGCAATACTCACAGCGCGAAACGTAATATACCGTGACTCGGGTGTTTCGCTAACGATCGCGAGCGGGAAACCGAAAACAGAGACATGCCTTTTACGAGCTGCAGCGAGAAAGGATGGCTGAGCATTGTGGCTGTTGCCGCTGCGGGATGTGTACGCGCGAGTGCTACGAATACGCAGGATTATCCGCCGCGAGAAAGAGAGCGAGAGAGACTGCTAATTATACGGCGAGACAGCCTGACTGATTAGTCGTCGGTATAACCGGCCGGTTACATTACACCAGCCCGTTTTCGATGATGGATTACACTCCCCCCGGAGCTACTTTTGAGCGACCTCCTGGACTACGTGGAAGCCGCCTCATCCCTCTCTTCTTTCTTCAATCTTCTCCTTTCTCGCGGAGGGACACCGCGGCTAACTAATTAACGTCCGCCGACATATCCTCGTCATCGTCGCTCACGTTAACGACGGATTGTATCTACCGCGACGTATATACCTCGCCCTCGCGTCCAACGTACGCGCTCGTAAAAAGGGCGCGTGATAATCAATCTCTGTTAACTCGAGACAAAAGTATCGCCGCACGACGTCGTCCTAAAACAAACACATTCAACGATCCATCTTTCATATTCTTCCGTCGACACGTCTTTTTCATGCATTGTCGAAATTTCGTTCCCACCGCGAGTAATGGCAACATTGTTTACCCTCGTGAGCGTTTGTTAGCTCTCGTGTAGCTGTTTTCTCGGTAAACGAACAATCTCGAAAAACGGATGTGTATGATTTAACGCCAGCGCGAAATGAGGATACAATTATGAGTCGCTAACAATCTTTTTCTTCAAGATCTGCGTGTATAATCTTGACACACATGCGGCTTATTATCCAGCGCGAATTGCCTACGCGCGTACACATCAGCGGAAACAAACGGCGCCGACTTGAAAACATTCGTTTTCCATTCCCTAGGTACGTGCTGTACAATAGAAATCGCAACATAACGCGCGTACACGGCCAGTATACACGCATACATACATACGTCGCTTTCCTCTGCCCATTTTTCTTGCGCGGCGCACCGGGCAGATAAATAATTCCGGCGCGCATCCTCGCGATGGGAGCTACAACAGGCGAGCGGTATTCTTCGCACGGTCACCAATGCGAGAAATCATATCTCATCGTACGTCAGTACGCGTGCTCGCCAAGTGCTTTTTCCATTTCTCATGCGTGTCTCGCGGATAAGTAACAATTATCCTCAAGAGCACGTCGCACGTTTTCACGAGACAATGCAGACGTATTGTTGAAATTGTTACACGTTGTTCGTAAAAGCTAACATTTACTCGTCACATTAAATTGCTCTATTGCAGACTACGCTTAAATAAAATGTAACAACGGATTGGACCGAAACGCCCTGCGTAATGACACAGGCGCGACTGCTGCACCTTTCAAGCATATGAAAAAGATTGCGATCTATTCGCCAAGTCATCGCGTGTAACTCGGAGATAATTGCCGCTCTCATTATTATCGTCGTTATGCGGGAAACAAGCGTAATGGCGATATACTTAGCCACGTCGGCCCGGTTGATAAATAACAATTACGGCCTCTGACCTCGTAATAATTCCAGCGGGAGTTACGCGCGCTCGCGGTGGCGCCTATCGCGCTCGTCGAACACGGCGAAGAAACGGACGAGCGATGGCGATCGCTCTCTCCTGCGCCGTTCCATTCTACTCAAGGAGTAATCATCGCCGGCGTCGTCGTCATCGAGCAGGAAGCGGCGAACAAACGGCGCCTAGCCGCTGGCCGGCCATTCTCCTGCACGTGCAACTCGCCGGGCGAGAGAGAGAGAGCGCGCGTACAACGTATTACACGCACGCACACTCGCGCGGCCCGTGAATAATTACCCCGACGATTTATCGCGACGTGATATCGCGTCATAATTTCGCTGTCTTGACCGGCCTGGCGCTGCCGCCGCGCGGCGAGAAAAATATTAGCCGCGTTAATAATTAACGGGACGCCCGCGGAGAGGAGGTCCCGCTCCAGCGACTCCGCGTTCTCACGTTTTGGCCGCGGTAGCGGTCGCGCACCGGTCGCACACATCGCCCCGCCGCGCCGGTTTTCAGGCAATGCAGCATTGCGCGCGCGGCGACGACGTCCAATTTTTCAAGCGAGCTCGTTATCTCGCGACACGCGAACCGCGTGAACATCACGTCGGGAAGGTATCCAGCACGGCGGGGTAGCGCGGTTTTCGTGTGACGCTTGTGTTGCAGACATAGCCGGCGATACCGCCGCTCCTCTCCCGCGACGCCCGCCGCAAGCCCGCGCCAAACTCCGGGCTTTCGCCCGAGTGGAAAGCTCTCCGCATGCACTCCGTGCGCGAGTATTAAATTTATGAAACCGATAGCGCCGCGCGTGCCCCGGCCGAAAATTTATGTTCCGCGACGCGGGATTATGCGGAGAAATTGATCGTTAATTCGTGCACGTTCGGAGTTGCTTCATGATTTATACCGGAGCTTAATAAGTACGACGCGCGTGAGAGAAACTTTCGTACAGCTGCGAGGAGGAGAATGCTAAAGCAAGAATTGATTTTATGATCGACGTTTTTACGATCGGAATAACCTCGGCAAAGTTCGCTCCGCGGACGGATCAAAGTACGGATCTTCAAAAAGAGTTTATTCGCGTCACGTCGATTCGAAATAAAACCTTTTAATCGTGCGATATAGCAAATTGCGCGTACCATGACGAAATCCTGCAGCAGCGATAGCGGCAGAGACGGCACTTCTAATCATACTTCACGAAATGATCACGCTATAAATCGCCGGTCGTTATATCATCGCTTTCACGATCAGATTCGTTATCCTCGATCAAAGCGCGGCGCTTACACGTCGGTAGAGAAGGATAATAGAAGCGTGCGCGCGGGCGCGCAAATACACCGCGGAGGTTCGAAAGGATCCGCTACTCACGTCGGACCGGCGGCCGCAACCATCTCGCCCTCCCGCTTTGATAAGTATCATAAGTAAATCGCGATTACCGTGCGCGATACAACTGCCGCGATCGGGAACGTAGCTGGCTGCGCGCGGTAGGGCTAAGATGCGGTGGGAGCTAAGATCTGGTCTCGCCAGAAATCGCCACGAGCAAAAATGCAAAAGCCACGAACGCCGGTCGGTGTGCGAGCGAGCGAGCGAGCTCGTGCAATTACCCGGTTCGGTTCCACCAGACGGTCTTCGTCAGACTCGGAAAGAACGGTTCTTACCGATAGAAGCGAGGGGAGAGAGAAAAAAAAAACGATCAGGAAATGAGGATGAGGACGCGAACGGGAAGGGAGAAAGGGAGTCTCTTTAATATCTCGTAGTCTCTCATCGGTGCCCGACCGACCGAGAGGAGTCGCGCGTTCCTCTCGCTGCGACGAAAGGTCAGGTCAGCTTTAATTATCGTAAATCAAACGAGCGGCCGCCGCACCGTACCAACCGAGGCCCGGCGTTGCGCAAGCACGATTATTGTTGAAATCGGGGAGAATATCGGTGAAGAGAAGCAGAAGGGGGACCGAGCGGTACTCCGCGAATATACGAGAGAACGGCGATCGTGAAATATCGACCGATCGAATTACGTTCCTCGGAGTCGTGATATTCCCGTACGCTGGAGATCCTTTTTTATGAGATTACAAGGCACAGTTCCTACGATTACCCTCAATTAATTATAAAGCTGCAAATGATATAGTTGCAACAAGATTGAAGAATATAAATAATTTCAAAACCTGTCTTTATCGTGAATTAATATCACGATGCTTATTTGCTTCGGTAAAATGGTAAAAACATGAAAGTATTTTTATATTAAAAAACTATTATGAAACTTGCGTGCTATTATATGATAAAAAAAGTTGTAAACAAACGCGGGAAAAATAAAAATGCTCGGAGCGGAATATCAGATTCAGTTTATGAAACTCATCTTACCTCGGCATTGTGTTTCATCGCGCTCCTTTTTATTTCAAATAAAATGCGGCGAATCGCTTGAATGTAATTTCGATGTGGAATTGTAGATCGTTACGGTACACGTTCGATACATCATAACTTCGGCGATGAATCCGCTGATGTTACGTCGAGCGCGAATTTTCATTCACTTTTAATGGCTCGGAACTACAAAAGGATATGTGTGAGAGAGTATCGAAGAAACATATCGGCATGACGCATGCGATTCGACCTCCGCTGTTATCAATACACCCTCCAAGAAGCCGCCGCGGGTGGTAACACGCAAACAGTCGTATCTGATTCTGTTATTCGCTTAATTACACGCCTTAACGTAACGACGACGCCGTGCCGCAATCGAGTCGTGTAATACGCATCATCACCCTCCATTTTCCACTCTTTGCGCCACTCTCACCCTCACTGCTCATGCATTTTCGAGCTCTTTAATTCATTTAGTCGTCGTCGACGAACGAACACACACCATCGACGCGTGTATTACGCTCCGAGCTATATTCGATTACTCTCGCGCAAAAATTGTGTTCCGGTCTTTCCATATTTCGCGAACTTTTTGCGAAAAATTAAAAAAAATTTGATCAATTAAATCGAAACAAAATCGACTCCAAATCGAGTAAACGATATCGGTACGTGTGCAGACTCGAAGCTTGAAACAGCTGCTCTGCAAAATCCTATCGGTAACATGTGCTACTTTCGCACGCGTGCAACGCGATAAGCAATCTCCCTCCGCATCTGCGTCTGGGATTAAGACGTATCTAGCGATCCGGATCAATCGGAACACTTTAATCCGTCCCACGGTGTCATCTCGTCGTTCCGCCGAGCGAGAAGTATCAGAATCACGATCTCTATCAACCTCTCTTTAAGCCTCGGCGATCTCCATCTGCGTTGGACCGTATCTCCCACGCGCGTCGGGCCCGCAGTGATACCGATCGATAAAGAAATCGGTTGTACCGACCCACTCGTGTCGTCGTGTCTCTCGTTAATCGGAATGACGGTTCAACAAAGTCCCGACGAGCGCGGAACTTGACTCACATTATTTGGGTCTCAGAGGTCGTGATCCGTGAACGGTCTGGAATACAATGGTGACCCGACCTGGCTAGGCGCCGTCTCTCTCTATTGTCATGTGACGACATAGCGCGTCCGCGACACTCTCGAAACCGGAAACAGGCCTCTTCACCGCGCAACGATAGATCGTGGAAACGTTAATTCAATACCATTCTTTGGACGTCATTGTCAGCCCGATCTCTCCAAATCCATTCAAAATATTTGCTCTGCACCTGGACTCTATATATATATAATTCAACGCGACTTATGGCTAATCCGACTTTTAGAAACGTCGCCGTGGGGATCCTTGACTCCTCACACCTTTCGCGTCGCTCAAAAAAAAACATTTTCTTCGATCGGATTTTGCTCGAATAATATGAACGTTATTTTTACGCGCTAATCCCGGATCTCGTTGTTACTCGTACCATTCGACAGGTTCGCATGCGTACGAAAATCGGGAAAGGTACAAGTCGTTGTGTCAATGTTGCCGCGGCCACGGAACGACGGCGGTAATGGTTTGGACGTTGCTCGGTTCGCCGGCTAAAATAACAAAGCACGTGACGCGGAAACAAGGAACCCGTTGTCTCTTCCTTAATCCGTCTCTCTTCGTTTCGTTCGTGGCATCTCATTGCGCTCGCCTGTTACGCTCCGTGTACACCGGTTCGTTTCTTGTGCCCGACGCTACGAGTGTGGCGTTGACCGAACCGGAACCTCTCCACGATGCTCTCCGTGTTGCTGTTGCAGGTACCTTTGTTAATTAAGAGGCGTCATGTGTGGTCTCTCACCCCGCCGAGCGGACGCACCGTGAAACCGTACACGGATGCACGGTAGCTTATGTCTCTGTCTCGTCCCGCCGCGCGATACGTGGCCAACACGCATAGCAGCCACGTGGGGTTCGAGGATGCGAATGCACATCGCGTTCATACACGCGTATATATGTGCGAATACCTCTATGTATGTGTGTAGATAGCTACTACTGCTGTTGCTGCTGCTGCCTGCAACGCGTATCTAACGGAGACACGACTAACTAGCTCGGCCGGCGTGGCTAACGAGAAGAGAGAGAGAGAGAGAGAGAGAGAGGGAGGAAGGCTCATGCTGGCGCCGCGATCAGGTGATTCGAGGACGATATGAGACCGGATACAACGTTTCCATCCGGGCGCTATCGCCCATCCGATCGCGTCGAATTATCGGAAACCGATGACAATTCTCCGGCCGACGAGCCGACACGACCGCCGCGTGCGTGTCGCGTGACGTCGCCCGATTAGACTCTGCTCTATGTCGCTCGTGAATTTTCCGACACCGCCGTGTTAATCGGCGGATTAAAGTAAACGCGGCTTTCAGACTGCGGAACCAATTGGAAATATGTACGGCGGCGCGGGTCACAATTTGACGGGCCGCATACGTTGCCGGGCGACTGACGCGCGTATAAAATGAATAATGATCGTGACGCTCGGTTCGCGCGGTCATCGAATATTCATTGTGGCCAAGATTCCGAGCGGCGGAATAATTATCTAGAACCGATGGAGGAACTTTTTTTTTTTCCGCCGCTGACTCGGCATTATGGCGTCGCGTGACTCGCCTCAATTAAGTCGTTCGCTTCGTGCTTGCATTCTCTCTCCGGCGTTCTTGTTTTCGGCGTTTAAAGACCCGACGTGCACGGCCAGCTGCTTTTCAATATGAGAGAAGCTAACCGTGTCACTGGAAACCATTAAAAATACACGCGGAACGACTGAGTAACGACGCGCACACCGGTATGCTACGCTGAAAGAGACAGAGATCGAATCTTTCCGCGCGCGTTCCTATCGATGATTCGATTTTGTCGAATTATCGGGAACCAATGAAAATCCCATTCCACTTCGCTCTACTTCCGTATATCGCGTGACGTCGCTCGATTAAATCCACGTCTTGTTATCGCGTGCACTCTTTTCCTTTGTACGTATCCAATGTGCTGGAAAGGCCGCTATCAGAAGGCCGCTACCCGCCGTACAGCCGTACAAATAGATCATGGCTACAAATTATACAGCGTTCGTCCGATTCGCAAGACGGGCAGCCGTAAACGTACTCGAGGTAGCTGCAATTAGGAAGCCCGAGATGCAGAACCGACATTTCCAATTGGACTGATAGTTATTCCATCCGCGTCGACATTAAATGCTCGTACGCGATGTTGCGCAATAAACAAGACATATAACTGGCAACGTATGACCGGTACGACGACTCGCATGACGCCTCCATACATATGTAATATCGCGCCGTACAATAAAATCCCTGACGAATGCAGCGAGCAGCTACGCGCATATTCGAAATGGTTAACGAGCTGGCCGCATGCGCCCAAACGGCTAACGAGAATTCGTACGGATGAATTCGCCATCAGGAGAAACCGGGTAGAATGATTTCGATGGGTCCTATCGGCCATTCGATCTGCCGGAATTATCGGAAACCGATGAAAATCCTATTTTACTCGCGTCTCGTACTCGCGTACGAGTGCGTCGCGCGCGTTACCGAATTCCGGCTCTGACGTCGGCGCCGTTGCGTTCCATTCAGCCCCCCTGGCAATTGCCAGCCCCATTGTAACATCGTCGCCTGAATTCCCCTCTCCCTCAAGGGCGGTGCCATATATTTTTTAATACGCTCATTTGATTTTGTTGACTCGGAGATATTCGTTTCGAATGCACCCAATGGAATTAACAAACGTTGAAACGAACGAATCCATGTTACCATGTTAAAATTCGGAAAATCGGGGAAAAAACCCAGTTTTCAACCGTGGCGTTACTAGTGGAAACTAGGATGATCGAATTCTGCACGTTTTATACATTCCTATGTCACACGTTGAAAACGATCGATTATAACGTGTATCTACATCGACTCGGTATTATACATCGCACGCATTTATCGGCGCTGACGTTTAAGTTCAACTTTGATACAAACAATACGCAAACGCGTTTTACGCCGTTAACATGTTAACGCCCGTGTATTTTTTATTTTTTTTATTTCCGTCGCGGCAATATAAAATGCTGAATATCGAACTTTATATTGACAAATTGAGCATTGTATTAAAAAACGGAATACAGACAGTTTATTACTGACGCGTCGCATTTTTAAGCCTCTCTCCGTGTAGAGAAAAAGAGAGAAGGGGACGGAGAAAAGAAGAGGAGCGTATAGGGTGGCGCATTTATCGCAATGGAAATTGTGGCCCCCAGCCAAATGTCGCACGGGGATAAAGGTCTAACCACTCGTTGGCGGAAAATACATCGGACTTGTGCACCGGTGCGCCGCGTAAATCCGAAAATTCATTACTGCAGTGCGCGCCGCGATTGTTCGTAGCCGGCGCTCGTAGGCGGCCCGCCGCGCGTAGCGGCGTTGCATTAATGACTGGGCATCAGAATTTACAGGAGAGACACCATTGTTGACAGACAAATATAAAATTTTCACGACTCCGATAGTACGCGCCACGTGAATAACGATCATCATTGAATTAATAACTGGACCGTGAATTACGATTACGGCGCATTTAGTGTGTAGACAACCGACTTCGCGCTGACGTATCGCCAGATTTTCGCCGATCACGAAGCGTTATAGCGGCGTAGTGATATACACATTAATCCGATTTATTACGAAATAATAAGCGCTATTATCTCTCGCGCTTAATTGTTAATGTTAATGTATATGGTTCTGCAATATTCATTTGCAGATCGAACAAAAATGTTAAATAAATATAAATCGACGCTGAGTCTCTGCGGAAATAATAACGTTATAAGTAATAGAACGCACTTATAACATTTTTTCGAAAGACAATTTTGTAAAAGTCAAACTGTTGTTTGTATCAGAAGGCGAGGATGCCGCGGAGGACGAGGATTCCTATCTAGAGGAAGATGAGGTGCCTTCGGCTACGATAGCTACCGATACTGAACTCATTTCCGAAGGCGGTGGTCATCTACCAGTTTTTCTCACGGAGCCCGTAAATGCTTTTGTCGTAAAGAACAAACCTGCCACTCTACGATGTAAGGCCGCTCACGCGCTGCAGATCTATTTCCGCTGTAACAACGTAAGGGCGGATGATTCTCAACAACAGGACTTCGTCGACCCTCACACGGGAACGAGGATCGTCGACTGTGAGCTCAACGTTACGAGGGATCACATCGAAGAATACTTCGGCAAGGACAAATTCAAATGCGAGTGCATCGCTTGGTCGGGATCAGGACAAATCAAGAGCCAGCCAGCAACTATTGACGTCGCTTGTAAGTATACAAATCGAGTTATCGATACAACTATATAATTTTTTAGTGAAATTTTTCTAAATTTCTTATTCCACGAAATACTTTTCAACTTAAAAATTCGCGATAATGGCAACGTTTTCGTAGCAATACAAACTATTCTCTTACTTTTGAGACAGACAATTCTTGTTCTTGGCGTGCTTAAAGCACGTGAATCAGAGAGTTTGAAATAAACGTCGCGAGGATTCTGGGGACAGCCGACTTTTCGTCTCACTTTGTCTTCGTCCCGTTGTAATTATCTTGATTCTCCTGCCAGCGAAGTCGTTATTTAATTCCGTCTCTTAATTGACGACAATGCAATGAGCGTCGAGTTTCCAAGAGAATCAATTTAAAGGGACAACCACTTGACCAATTTAGAGTTACATAACTCAAAAGCTAGACGTGAAAGCGAGGAAATAGAAAGGCACGTCATATAAATTACCGAAAAGCTGAAAAAGATATTACAATGCGCGAAAGATAATATGGCAGAAACATTTAATATGAAATTTGTTAAAATACATTAAAATTAATATAATGTCAAGTGGAAAGCTCTCTACATTCCAAATTTCATTAAATATACTTTCGTTTGATTGTCATTGTTAGCTTTTCATCAGACAAAACTTTTCAAATTATTTTTTCAGATCTGAAAAAGCAATTCGATTCGCCACCATACTCAGTGTCCGTCGAAGAAGGCCAGAGCACCGAGCTCAGGTGTTTGCCCCCAACGGGAGTGCCACCACCTAGAGTTTACTGGCTGAAAAATAATGTCCTCGTGGACACAGAGTCGGACACACTTCTCGTGTCCAGCGAGGGCCATCTTCTTATTGGTCAAGCGAAACTTGACCATCAGGCGAACTATACTTGCGTGGCCGAGAACATCGCGGCGAAGCGACTGAGCGAGCCAGTTAGTTTAACGGTATACGGTAAGTTTATCATCTTTTTGTTATAATTATTTTGATTATATATATATTGAATATTTCTCTCTCGATATATATTATTGCTCAAAATTAAATATCGAAACATTGATAGTCAATTAAAGGACTCTCTGCTTCAAAATTTACAAAATAATTTTTGCTGTTTTCAACTAGTTAATGGTGGCTGGTCTTCCTGGTCGTCCTGGTCGGAATGTCACTCGCGATGTGCAAAAGGCGGTCAAAAGAGAACGAGGACCTGCACGAATCCACCGCCCCAGAACGGCGGCCAGCCGTGCCTCGGACCGTCTCAGCAAAAGATGGACTGCAATACAGCCTGCCCCGGTGAGTCCCTTGAATTCATTATCCGCCGCGCGCGCGCGCACAAGACTTTCGACGAAGAAACCTCTCTCCACTGGAGGAATCTTCTCGCCTGCCTTCGTGTACCTCTTTGCTGCGTTCTAATCTACTACGGGAACTTCGCTCAAAGTATTTAACGTATAAGCAAGCGAAGGTGTCTTACTCTTTCCTCTTCCAGCTCTCGCGTCGCGCAAACGATATACGTAGTAGATTTTGCCATCGCGAAACGATATTACTGATGCCGAAGAGAGAAGACCCGCTTGATTTACGACCTGGTCTCCCCCGCCGTCTGGACCCCTCTCCCCCAGTCTGTATCTGTTGCGCGCGCGTCACAGCCTATTCGTGTACGGTGAAGTCTTTTAAATTGTATTCACCTTTCGAAACGTTTGCGACATCCTAAAGGCACCTGTGGCTATCCTCGAGTAAAGAATATGCAGGCTGCATGCAAACGAGCGAGCCCGCAGGGCATAATGCCCGAGGAAAGTTGCCGTCCGCTTCCTTATATCGCCGGTTAAGACGTTGATCGATCTAATATTCTTTCGGCGTTTTCACGCGAGAGACACGTTAACCGCTCGCACTTACGTTGGTCAATGCACTCACGACGCACTTTTTATTTCCCTTTTAACGCTCGCTCACTTTGGAGTAGCCGCTCCAGAAGTCTTCACTAACACCCTGGGTAAGTCCTTCACATGTGCATGAATCATGGTCCTCGGCCCGGGCGAAAATTAAACCGCGACACGTACACGACCGCAAGCCACGGCCGCGTATAAGGGCGTTTTAATAAAACAAAGTAAACCATCAGAGAAAGAGAGAGAGAGAGAGAGAGCGAGCGCGCCAGGCTGTTTATCCGGTGGCGCTTAAGTGCCAATAAAGCAGCTGGCTCGAAGCGAGAGTAACCGCGGATGTAAACGAGTTCGGCGCGTCTTTGGTTAGTCACCTTCCTGATTCTTTTTCTTCCGTCGCGCGTGACGGCTTAAAGAAAAGCGTGTCGATACGAGTCAATTATACGAAAAGAAAATAAACGTCGTTGTAAGAGCCGGCAATAAACGAAACCGAATCGACACGTACGATCTCCCACAACGATACATCGGAGATTCGCGCGGAGTTACGAGCCCGTTCCGTCTTGTCAAACTTTTTTTTACTGCCGCTGCACGTCGATCGGGCTCGTCTTAACGACTCGAAACGAAACGAAACATCGATCCTCTTTTTTCAGCAGTCGTGGACGGCGGATGGTCCAGATGGTCGGCGTGGTCGGTGTGTGGGAGCGATTGCACACACACGAGAAGGAGATCGTGCGACGAGCCGCCGCCCAACCACGGCGGCCGACCTTGCCAGGGCAGGGACATCAACGTAGCGAATTGCACCGGTGGCATGTGCAACGGTAAGTCACCGGCGAACTTTTCTACGTCTTGATTGCGCCCTCCGCTCGTTGCAATCTTTTAGCGCGCCGCAAAGTTCCGATGAGTCGCGAACCACATCCCATCGCGCGTTACCGAGACGTTATAAACTACGGACAGAGTGTACTTCTCATTTCCCGTAACGCAAAAATAAGTATTTACTTTCGCTCAACTTTTTAGCGTTGAATTTAAAACAACAGCAATTTCATCGAAAATAAAACATTGTGTCTTGCTCTTCAAAAACAAGCGATGTAATATCGCTCTTTAATTATTTAAATGGAGTATCATTCCCAGTAAGCTTTTATGCTCGTGGAGTTAATGGAATGAAACAAGATGTAACGAATATATATATATAGCGTTAACTGTCGGATAAACGGCATTTTAGAAAGTAGTTTATCGGTAAAACTCCAATACTATCGAAATGTATATCCTTTAATTATCTAACTTACCCGCATTTCCTTTTACAGTCGGCAACGCGAAGGTCGGCGGCGCTCATTTAACAGAGGAAGGTGAGTTGGGCAAGCAATAAAGCATTTTTCCCGCTCTTTTAATCTCTCTCAATCCGATTCCTCTTGCGATTTTACCTCACGTCGTTTCCCGCGCCGCTCGCTGGCCGGCCGCGCTGCAAAGAGAAAAGTTTCTCGATTAGATAAGCTACGATCTCTCTGCGATGTACACGGACCTCCTCCGATTCGTTACGGATTTGTAGACGCTCGCGAAAAATAAAACGAGATGAGAGGAGTAGGAGGAGTTGCCTCGCGAACGGGGCGCGACCGAGGCGTCCGACCGCGAAGCAAATGTCCTTAACTCGTCGTGCGACATTCTTGGATGGATTCTTCACGCCCGGTGCACGCCATTTATATTCCAGGCGACGCGGCGCTATACCCGGCGATCTGATACCATTCAAATCAGATGTTTTATGCACCTTGAAAAAGGCGGCAAAATAGAGAGCGTGAATCCAGGCGCGGTGAACATTAGCATTATTCATTAATCCAGTATAATAAACGCGAGCCGAGGCGCCCGCGTGCGTGCGTACATCAGACTCGTTGATCTCCACGGCGCTTACGCTAAAAATAATTCTCGCGGATGAAACGAGAGTCGGACCGACCGTGCGGCTACAATATCGCTTCATTTTGCCGCGATGTATGCGGACGCGTTCTCCCGCGTCGGTAACGAGCGCAAACGGCTCTCTCTCGCGGTACTATTTACTTTTAATTACTCGACCGGTTAATTATTGACGCGCCGTGAAGGCCGGAGCATGATCGTTGCGACCCCTCCGCTGCGTGATCCAAACAATCGTAACAATGATAGCTCGTAGCCAAGTGGGGGCTCGCTGGTCCGTACAGACGCCAGCTTCCTCTCCTCCGCCCGCTCGCGCCACCCTAAGGTAGCCAATTCTATCGACCGAGGCACATCAAAGTTGCACGCGATACGGCTGCACCCTCTCTGCCCCCTTGGCGCCGAGGGGCGGAGACCGGCTTTAATATCGAAGAAAATTATGTAATCGGTAGCCGTTACGCCCTCGTCGCGGAAGGGGGAAATTGATCGCGCATGCAAATAAAGTGCCATTATCCCGTGGCGCAGACCTGAGCGTGTACACGACTGAATCTCTCGTCGAGGGGGCTTGATGCCCCGAAACAGCCCCCCTTTCTCTTCTGAATCCAGAAGTGAGTTCGATTTTCCTGAAAGCGGCGATAAAATATAGATGGAAGATACGCGCGCACGCTGCCGGAGGAGCGTGATGCGATTTACCGCCTTACACCGACAGGCGTCTTGCAAGAACCCCGAGTCATCTCGGACGTTCCTGGTTTAAATATTTAAGACGCGATGCCGTCAATCGAGATAGAACGTTTAAAGTGGACAGCTTACACCGATCGATACTCGAGGGTGCCGCTGCGACGAATAAAAATTCCATTTTACACTAATAACAGCAAAATAAATATCAAAATAATACATCGCCTATACGATTATAATAAAGAAAATTGATAAATTTATCAATGGCAAAGCTAGAAGCAACTGCACGGTACGCGACTTCTCGGGAGTAAAGATGAAAAATAGTTTCAGATACATTAGGTCCGGGTTATGAAGCGTTATCAATAGCTTCGAAGAAAATAAATCCCGACGCCCCTCGCGGAAAGCCACTTTTCAAGCTGTCTCCAGAAGGAGAATGGGGGAGTCGTACGCGCGTTTCCGATCTCGTCTTACCGCGTCCTGCGGGTAACGATGTGGAACTATTGCGTTTACAAAGTCCCTCTTCCGAATTCGTATGCATTTTCGAGCCTGTCGTATACCTATATTGACGTGCCAGGCACGTGTCGAGGACACGGCGTGCGCCAACGAGGCACACATGATCCCGCGAGAGGGAGCGCTCGGGCTCGAAAGTCACGTAGTCGGGTTACGACCTCGTATGCCTTTGACATTCTAAAATTGGAAGAAGCTTAAGAGTGTCAGGCACGGCAGGCGGTTGAGGTATTTCTCGAAATTTTTTACGACCGCGGGGACATTTTCTACGTCGTCTCGTTTGCCGCGGGACCGCGAAACACGGGGAGCTCCGTGAATGGTTAAGTACGCGCGGTAATTCGGTGAAAGAAAAAAAAATTGCCCGTAACTCAAATACCACGGCGAACTTGCGCACGGTCGCGTTTTACTGCGCGGCCGGTTTTATTTTCAAGAATTTCATTTCCCACAGTTGCATTTACTTACATTATCCACATATCCCGCAGCGACGACGCTCGTAAAACACCGCGGTGAATTCATATCCGCGTAAGCGAATCTCAGCGCGATCTTCGAAGCCGTACTTTGATACCTGCGTAATTTGATCTGTACAATCCCGCTGCGTGCACCGCTAAATACCCGCTGCATAATTGTGGCATAATCTCGGTCGATCGTTTCAAACGGCTGCCCACACGGTTTCGCATCGGCGAGTTTTCTTCCTTCCGCAAACTCGAGTACAACAACACTAACACGGAATTATTATTCCGTTCGAAGCGTGTTCGCGTCGCGGTGCTTTTATTGCGTACGTTAATGGCAGTGATAATAATGATCGGAATCTTTATAGCCGCACGAAATAACGCGGAGCTGTAAAACGATAAACTGACGCGCTAAAGAAAACGAGCGAGCAGAGGAAACGAGCGTGTCGCCGGCGTAAATGGAGAGGAACCTTAAAACTTTTCTACGGTGCTCGTAATATTTAGCGACGCGGGAGCGTTTAACGCTCTCCCGCGCTTTTGGACTTCTTTTGTCGTCGCATAAGAAGTCCCGCGTAAAAAGTAAATAAAAGTTATGGCGTTAAGTATTCATGAGGTAGTGGCGCGCGGTCGGTCGCTCGTCCCACGCGAAATGTACCGAAAATTGCTCGCAATTTTCGCACCGTTTTGCAGTAATAAGTTACACTGGCCAATTACTTAGAGAAAACAAAGTTTTCACGCGTTTTTCGCCATTGCTGATTTTCTAAAAAATAATAATAATAATAATAATAAATCAGGAGATGCAAGAATTCGCAATATATAATTCTTACAGCGAATCGCCAGATGGATGTAGCCTTATATGTCGGTCTAACGGTCGCCCTAGTGGTAATTGGTGGCTTGGCGATCTTTCTGACGAGACTGCTGCGACGCAAGGGTCGTGATCATTCCTTATACTCCATGGCTCGTAATGGTAAGTATTTCGTGCGAGAGGTAAAAGCAAATATTGGCATTGAATCGAAATTGAATAATCCTAGCCACGTTGAAATCGAGCCAACGACAATTACTTTTTGCAAAAATTAAACTTTTTCTCGACGATTATTTCACGCTTGCTATGTGATTAATTAAATACACGAATAGAATAAATATTCGCATCGTCATACTTTTGCTTATACTCGTGGAGCCGTTTCGTGTAATATTTCATGCTCAATATCGCCGAGAGATATATTGTCCCTCGCATGTCTCTCGATTATAAATGGGCAAGATACTATTTCGAGACTGATAAGAGAAAATATACTCACTACGTTCATTCGCTGAAAACGTGAATACTAACAAATCTAGATCGAAACGAAATTCCAATAATTCTCAAACACGTAAATAATCGCTAAACTCATCGATCACAATATGAAACATTGTGACACGCACATTTCTCTCACGTAACAATGAAACGCGCGAGCGTTCAGCTCACACATAGAATCGGAATAGTATCTCGGCGGCGTTTGTCCGCAGCGGGCAGAGATACCCACGAGCCGTGCCTCGGCCGTGTGCGTTTCAGAATTCCAGCCGGAGTTCTTCCCGGACCAGGACAAGAAGCTGAGCCTGCAGCCAGACGTGACAGCGACGAGTGTGCCGGCCTGCTACGAGTATCCTTTCGACCCGAAGCTATCAATGTCGAGATCCCTCTCGGAACACCATTACGATGTACCACACTTGTCGATCGCGCCCCAACCGTCACCGATGTCGCCTACGCCAAGTACGTCGACCCAGGAGTCGTGCAGCGACAAGCAGATCCATTCGGACAGCGAGAACAGCGTCACTAGCTCCTACCCGTCCTCGGACTCGACGTACAACGTCGCCTCGGAAAGCGTCCGGTTGCCGAAGCTGGAGGCCGGAAATGTCGCCAGGGCAGCGGTGAACACGCGCGGCGCTCTACTGGTTCTTCCAGACTCCGGGATCTCCATGTCCGTGCCCGAGGGAGCCGTTCCCAAGCCGCTTCGGGAGGAACTCTATCTGGCGGTGCTCAACGAGGATCGTTACAGGCCCCGATTACCCGGTGAGTGCAAATTATTCATGGTTTACGCGCGCCGCGGGAAGCAGATGCCGAGTTTTACGATCGCAGCTGCGATTCTTGCATGTTCGAGACATTCGCGATACGGCGATGTTATTTTTATATCAATGCCGTTCCGCGCGTGCTTCGGATTATATCCCGTGTCTGATGTTCGATATAGAGCGCCGCTATAGAGCAATTCTTGTCGGAAACAACGAGAGTCAAATTGTCGAGGGAAAAAAGAAGAAAGAAAAAATTTAATCTCTGATAACTTTATTTTGCCGTTGATTGGAAAATCATGCGCGCGCATGCGTGTTGTGCACGCATTAAACGTAATTAATCAAATGACTTTCACTTGCAGTGAAAATAGTAATAACAACGCGGTGATAACGATAAACGTACAATAACGGCATTAAGCTCGTTCCGCCGTATCGCTCACTCGCACTACGAATCTCGATCCCGTTTTTCCCCCACAGACGGAATAACCCAGTTATCGGCTGTGGTGACCTGCGGCCCGTCATCCGCCACCTTCAATAAGCCTGTGATCCTGCAATTCGAGCACTGCGCCATGTTACACCCGGCGACCTGGGAACTGAGCGTTTGGGCGTGCGACGGTGTTAACATAGACGACGGCTCGTCGTCGATAGCGCCGAAAGACCACCAGTCAATTACGTGGAGCAGGGTGCTGACTCTAGGCAACGAGACTATCAATACACCGCTGTTTACGCAACTAGATCACGCGGAAGCTTTCATCGTGACCGAGCAGTTACGTAGCTACGTGTTAGCCGGTCAGAGCTGCGAGAATTCGATCGCCACGAAGAGATTGCGGTTGGCGCTGTTCGCCAGCCAGGCCGGCCAGTGTTGCGTCAGAGTTTACGCCGTGGAAGACACGAAAGCGGCCATGAAGGCCATTGTCGATCGGGAGTCGCAGATCAGGGGCTATCTGTTGGACAAGCCGCGCACGTTGCTGTTTCAAGACAACGGGGAGTCGCTCTGCGTCAGCCTCGAGGAGGTCGGCAACGAGTGGCAGAGCAAATCGCCTACGGAACGCCAGGAAGTCCCATTCCGCGACGTTTGGAACTGCCAGGAGAACGCCAAGCACGTGACCTTCGGTCTGGATACGGCCTTTGGCCCGACCACCACGAGGAGCTACAAACTGCAAGTATCGCAAGGCAATTCCGACACGAGACAGGTCTTCAGAATCGTTTACGACGGCGCGAAGCAGTTGATTTCCTCGGGTAGCGTCACGCGGCCGCTCAGAGAAGTCACCGTGGTTAGCAGCGGCCACGCTAACAACGCCACAACGGACTCCACCGCGCTACGGCCGTTCCGGTTTACAAGATCCTTGAGGAAGCAGCTCTGTCAGTGCTTGGACCCACCGAACGCCCTCGGCAACGATTGGAGAATGTTGGCGCAAAGGCTTCAAGTCGACAGGTTGGTAATCCGGCCGATAGCTTTCCTGCTTATTATCTGTATTTAATCCGAGACTAGAGCTCCTTTAGATACGCCACTGCGTTTATACGCAGGTACGTAGGTTACAAGATACATTCACTGGCGCGAAAAGAGACTCGTACGCCTCGATAAATCAACATCTAATAGCAAATATTTGCTTTAACAACAAAAATCATTTTTCTGACTTGATGTGATTAACGATCTGTTAATTCCTTCACATCTTGCATTGCTAATTTTTAAAAATCATAATGTTAATAATATTTGCTTTGCTTTAACAAATCATTTTTCCGCGACTTGATGCAATTAACGATTTCTTAAATTCTTTACATCTTGCATGATCAATTTATAAAAAATATATATAATGTTTATATAATATGAAAATTTTGCGTTAATCAAAATTTTGTTCGTCTCGTCCAATAAATTTTCCTGAAACGCGCTTTACTTTGTACCCGTATAACCGCCTGTGCCACTTTCCTCGGTAATCACGCAGCCGGTGTCTTCGTTCGTGTAACAGGTACATCAATTACTTCGCGACTAAGGCCAGCCCGACCGAGCACATTCTGGATCTATGGGAGGCGAGGCACCGTGAACCGACGGCGGTGACGGATCTGCTGAACCATCTCAGAGTAATGGGCAGGACCGACGCCGCCACGATTCTGGAGGCGCAGCTCGGCCCATGGCTTTGAATAAACAGAAAACCGGATCCTGAAAAGCGGTTTCCAGCGATGAGTGAAAGTCGAGACCATTGTACGCCCACTCGTGACGGGGTGATCGGTGAATTAGTGAACGCGATCAAACAGCGACCGGTGAACACGAGATCGATTAGTGAGTACAGTGAATCGGATCGCCAGAGTGAGTGAGAGACGTAGCGAGAAATAGGAGGAAGGAGAACTCGGTTCTCCGAACGGACTCATCGAAACACTGCCTTAATGGTGCGCGACAAACGCGCCGGTACTTTGTAAATAAACGTGAGTTAGCGGGAAGCCCGAAGATTCCCTTTTAGAAGGAGATTCTATGGGCCACATTAAGGACCGCGGCCCGAGAAATGCTTATCCGAGAGTTCAAGAGCGCCGTGGTCCGTAAAAGGAAACCGTATATAATCGTGACAAAGTAATTAGGGACTGTGCATTTAGACAGATATACGTGTACATACATGCTAAAAGAAAAAAAAACACGCGCGCAGATACAGATCGATATATCCATTTTAGAGATGGATGTTTATATATATAAATATATGTTATATATATAGATATATATACAGGACACGAAGTAAAGTTCGAGCGGATCGGCAATATCCGCGACACCTCGGCGCGATGACGTGATTTTGATCGATTTGTTAACACACATACGCACGCGAGCACGAGCGAGTGATTATTATTTTTCTGAAAATCGTGCCAAAATTACCTCGGTTTCGTAAAAACGTACACTTCCGTTATTGTTGCATCAGAGCTTTTCGTAAACGCCGTATGTATCCTTTTTATGCGTGTCGACAATACAGATCGCGGTATACACGAGACTACACGACGAGACGCGTCGTGCTGCGCGTTGCTCACGAGCGGAGTCCAGGCAACGCGCGATCGCATAAAGCGAGCTAATTACGACAGACATGATTTAAATCGACGATTTATTTGAGAGAATTGTATATTTGTTACTTTCGACGAATAAAATATTCTTGTATACCTCAGAGTCAAACTCGTTCTTTTTCATTTATTGCTGATTCCCGTCTCCCTCTCGTCAAATAAGACCACTCAAGTTTATTAAATTGCATATCTTCGTATGTTTATATTCTTGCTTGACGATAATAATATGTTTTATATTTTCAAGATATCTTCAAATATTTAATTTCTCGACAAGTTTGAGCAAAATTATATCCGTCTAACATTCACCACAAATTATACTCTTTTTAATAATGAAAAAATAAAGATGAGACGGATAAGATGAGTAAAATCCACGTAGAACTTTCTGACGTGAAATCTCATATCAGAAGCTGCTGGTATTCGTAAAAGGAACGCAGTAACGTAATAACTCTGCAAAACGTACTTTATCGGCATACTGTCAATAATTTTTTGCCAGTGAAGGAACATCCTTCTCGGCCGGTATTAAAGGCGCACTTTTGCGCGCGCGCGAGCAAGGGCTGTATATTACTTCAATTTCAGCTTGTCTCCGTACGTTCGACAGGGACAAGATATTCTATCTTCCACCTCCTCAATCCCGGCTGCGACGGCCTTCCTCGATTTTCTCTCGACGAAAATAGGTACGTACCTTTTGCGGAAGTTGAAGGAGGCGGAAATAGGTGACAATGGACGCGTCGAGCGTTGCAATTTTGAAATGTCGATACCAGTCACGCGTGCTCTCTCACTCGCCTCTTCGTTCCCCGCCTCTCTTCCGAGCTTTTCCGAGTCCGACAGCTTTTCGCGATATCTATATAACGTCAATGTAATTCGCTCACCGCGTTGTAGCGACATAGCTTTCAAATTTCTGGGACAGTCACGACAGTCAGATATCTTGCATGACTGTATCTTCTGAAAACGATTGGGTGAAAAGGAAAAATGACTAAATAAGAAAAATCCACGATAATAAACAGAGCTAGAATTTTTTGAATCAAGATGTTTCGTTAAGTGAGAGTCAGTTATTTTGTTGATGCACACGTCTGTTTTAATTGTAAAAACATCACAATATAAATACGATGGTCGAACGGCGAGCTCGATTATCGAAACCGGCGACGTTTCCATCGTATTTGTGCGTGTTAGTACGGTAAATTAAACTTTATCTGATTCAATAAATGCTTTATCTCTGCTGAATTGTGGGAAACTTTCGTCGCTGTGCTGGCGATGCGATGTGCCGGAAATTAAACGGGTAAGGCAGCACTCGGAGGTGTGGGATGGGAACGTGGAGGCAAGAGAGAAGTATTTAAAGTTCTTTTTAATCGTGGCAAAAATGATGGACGTCGGAATTAACTCTTTAAAGCATAATTTTACGAAAATGTCAACTGCATTCCAGATAAACTATTTAACTTGTCTAATGGAATTTTTCTTTATCGGGATATTTTTTATCATAACGGAAACATGTCATATATATGTATATATTATAGTTACTGAACCAAGATTATTTTTCAACATATCAAATCGTGATTTTTCCCTCAATGTATGCACATTCTTTATAAACAAGTTAATTGTTTATCGTATCTGTTTTTAACTTAGTTTGAAAAAATATATTTTTTCTTCGCTGTTTTTAACAACACCGAGTACCAATCATTAATTATTATGCACAGATATTAAAAATAAATAAATTCTGGTGTAAAATTATCGATAAAAACAGGTCGAGACGTAATTTTGACAGAAGCTTCGTCGGGCTTCTTACAAAGTGTGGCAAATGGAATGTATTTAAACTAAAAAAAATGACAGATGACTCCGACGCATTCCTATTCAAAAATTAAAAACACTCAGAACTGAAGGGGCGCCCTTGGAGAGCAATTCCGCTTTTCTTTTCTCCTCTTTCTTTCCGAGACGTTCTTCGCAAGATCGTTGCGTAAACGTAACGGAATGCACACAAGTGTTTTTCAAGTGCTCCAGCATGTTGCCGACCAGAAAGACCAAGCGCTATAAAAATAGCTCGAGAGCAGGATCACTTCCTCTCGCGATAGCACGAGTGAACCTCTTGGATGGACTTTGTTACTCGTATGATAATCGATAGTCCATTGACATGCAATTCACCGTTGTACAGCAAATAATTCTGTCTGCATTCCTTGCAGCTATACGTTTTAATAAAATGTGTAATAATCATTTTTCAAATTTCCCTCAAATTGTCATCGCAATGCCAGATGTGTAATAATAATACAATGAGCAATAAAATTTTATATGATTTTTGACTCCACGAGAATCAACTTAAATCGACCGGAGTATTGTACACTCGCCTACTGCGGCGTGAAATATCGTATCGAGTATCGCATATCGCTCGCCGTTCGAAAGACAGTCAATGACGCATCGGCATGTCGAATCCTCATTGAGAATGCGTCTGTGAAAATAAGCGCTCCGATTCGTTCCTGTCGTGGTAAAGCGCTGGGCGGACAGAATCTCTCGTCTTTTTTCACTTCGTCGTCGGATGTTCGCGTGGGTATATACGAGCGGTCTATCCGGCCGACGTTGGAGCGAGGAGAGGCGTAAATTATAATAAAGCCGCACGGCAGATCACACGGCTCTCGAGGGCCTCTCCTTCGTCGGCGCGTCGAGGTATCTCGCTCGTTCATGCGCGTCGACATTTAATGACTTATTGGCATGTTGAATCATCATTAAGAGACGCGGAGCGCACGAACGTACACGCGCATTCCGATTTTCTTTCTTCCGACGTACTCCAACGGGTTATTTCTTTTGTTCGGAATACATATTACCGGATGCTTCGCGTGCGCGGATGTTCGCGCAAGCGTCCCTTCGTGACAGAAAGTGCAAGTAATAACGCGTTGCGGCCCGGCTTCGTCATTATTTTCCACCGTTTGATCGCGCGCGTGTACGCCACGCGTGTTCCGGTCACGGCATGGGCGAAAGGTCCGGTATCGACGTGTAAATGACATGTTAGACAGACGCCGTACAGAATTGCCGTACTTGTGCGTGTATCCACCCGATCGAAGGCACCCGCCGCGTAAGGATATCGTGTCGCAAGAATTTAAATTCATATTGAAGGCAACGCAAACATGAAACGCGCCGACTATCGCGCGCGATAATTTCCAGCGATTCGCGCGTGTTACGCGCGAGAACCGATTTTTCTGACGGTTCAAGTGAAAACTGCTTACAGCGCTATAATGTTGTATCACCTATCGACAGTTTAGCATACGCGATACTTAACGACACGCCGACCGCCGCAGGAATGTTCACTCGCATTCACCGCATTCGTAAGACATCTTAATGCGTTACACCTTTGTAGATTTTGCATCTTTCCGGCGAGATGAACATTGGAGATTCTCTCGTGCAAACATTCTGAGGAAACCACTGACATTTTACGCAGATTAGCATCTCAATGATTGGCAGATAAGCAGATTTCAACATTCACAACGAGATGATGAATTAGAACGCGCGCGAAAAATTGCATTTTTTTCTTTCACAATAATCTTTCAAATAAAAATAAGATCGAAGAATATTCTTTAAGAAAAACAAAAGAAATAAAAGTATATTCAATTATGGGAAAAGGGAAATAAGTTTGCACTTTGGCGCCATTAATAACCTTAGTCAACACTGTTATGACTTTCGAGAGATATTCATGAAAATTATGCAAAGATATGCGTACGCATAAAAAGAGATAATATGATAAACACACGTTTGCATAACTGCGTAACGCGGGTAACACGCGCAGACGATAATTAACATTTCGCAAGGTAGACGTCGAGCGCCACTTCCCGCTGATTTACAGCACTGCTTCGTCATTCGATCGCACGGGGCGGGAGAGAGAAGGGCCCGCGGATCATCCGCAATCTTTTATCTCTCGGCGGGCGCGCCGATACGCCGCGTCTACGAAAATCCTGCAAATCCCCGGAAGACACGCGTAAATACGAAAACGGCGAAAACTACGGTGCATTTCGCGCGGGTGAGAAATACGGATGTTTCAACGAGCGCGAATGCATAATACATCGAATCTCGCGTACCTATATTTCTGACAATGCCAGCGGCGTGGGGACGTATTTATTGCAGACTCCATTGGAAAATGCCTCGACTGAGCGCGCTCGTATATAACGCTCACACAGCATTATTACATTGGACGGCATTCTGTACGAAATCGATTTCGGCAGGACGGCTAGCAGGTATACTGTCTTCATTCTTCCCAACTCGCTCCCGCTCCAGCTGAGGAGCTCGCCTACCTCGTGATACATAGCGCCGGCCTCCGGCGTTCCTCCAATTTTCTTCGCTCATCGCTTCGTATATTATCCGCGGAACTTGCCGCTGTAGTAGCCGCAACAGCGAACACGCGGGTAAACATCCTCGCCACTCCTATACACGATATTCCCGCTCCTACGCCGATTTTCCGCCAACAATACGAGTCCCGTTGCTGAGGCAAGTGGTAAATTTGAAGTAGTAGAAATGGCAAAGTCGGAGACCGCTTTCTCCGGAAAATAACGTGATTCGCTTTTATCTTATTTCTTGGAATGGCCGAAACAACCCTGAACAATATGTCTATAAATCACGTGAGATTAAGCGGTAAGTTGACAAAAATCTTATGCATGAAATCTCTCTAATTAATATTTTTCCACTCATTTGTCAAAAAAATTATTTTAAATAAAAATTAAATTAACGGTAATTTATCTTCTCCAATCTTGCTTTCAAAGGCTTCATCTCATTACACGAAAACGTGTCATCTGTCTAATAATTGGCAATTTAGTATGAAAGAGAAGAAACCTTAGCAATTGTGTCTCTCGAATGTCGCTCTCTCAGCTGTTGTCGACCTGATTTTGAGGACAGCAGATAAACGACAGGACGCGGTTACTCGTTCGTAAGCCCACGCGATTTTCGTGACTCACTTTAGAATACGCGAGAGACGCCACGCTTCAACGTGTCACATATAAATTTCACTCGGTTTCACAGCTGAGAACAGCATAATACGCGGAGAACAGGCGGTGGTTCTATCGTGCGTTTAGTGAGGCGCGATAAGATCGCGGAGAGACGGTCCTCGCTTCGCAGATACGTCGCGTCTAATTAAATA